GTAAGCGCAGTCAGACTGCTAATTCGCGTCTGCTTTCATCCACTTCCCATATAGGCATCATTATGTCATGGGCATTCATTAAGTGCAGATCAGTAAACTCTTTGCATCGTAACTTGGTCATTGCACTTTCAGTGAACACTCTTTGATCATCTGTTGCCATTCTCAAGATTAACTAAAGCTTGAGTCACCTTCTCAATTCTCGCGAAGACATTGAGAGGAAGTATCAGAGGATGGAAAACCTAGAGCACACTACTTTTCTTCCTTTTTCTATTAGGCCTCAAGACTGGAAGTATGGAGGAATTAATCAATTCGACATGACGTCTAAAAACAGTATTGAATTGAATGGGAGAAATTAAATCACCTCTTTCATGATTTGAGATGCAATATCGTTAGAGAATTTGGTGAGCAATTTGGAGTTTGATTGACTTTGCTGTGAGGAGAGCGTATTGAGGGAGTTCCCATAATGATCTCGATGATTTTGGAAATGCCACAAACGATGAAGAAAGATTAGGGCCTCACGCATAATGCTCTGCTCCAGACGTTCAGCCGCATTTTCTATTTCTGGCGCGGCACTAGTATAATAGCGACGACGAGTAGCCTTACAAGTACTAAAGAAGAAAAAACATATACTCTTAGTGCTTTCGTTATGTCCACTTGCCGGAATTACTCATGAGAAACTTAAATTTCTTAATCCCCTTCACTAGCTAGATGTAACTGATACGGTTGACCCCTATCCTCACCAGCATCGTCAACTCATTCGGCCATTTTTTGCAATAAAAGAAGAACCTGGCTTATTCGAAATAACAGAATAAAAAAAATAAAATATAAATAAAACAATCTTTCTTAGTGGAAAAGTGCAAATTTTCAAAAAAAAAACATTTGCATCTACAATTGGGGTAGGGTTTAATTGTGTATTATTTTCGCTGAGCAAATAAACAGATATTGAAATAGGAGAAATTTAACTTAGTAAAATATCAATATCTTTACCAAATGATTTGCTGAACAACAAATGTAACCTTAATAAGCCTATTTAAAAAAATATAAATAGAACTTACCAAGGAGCTGTACAAGGGTTATTTAACTCTGATTCGAACGTAGTGCCCATGGATGTCTGAAGATCACTCAAAATGCCTCTCGATAGTCGATCAGCGAATTCAAAAATGGCCTTCAACTGGTGAGGAGCGGTTTTTTCACACCGCACATTTGAACCTAGAATAATTTTTCTGATTACAGATGGATGTCACCCCCAACGGTACTGAATCGTAAACAGCAAAATATACAGACCAATTCTGCACCCAAAAGTTCTCCTTGAGTCTCCAAAAGAACTCAATTTCCACAAATTTGATTTAGGACCTCTGTAAAAATGTCTCCCAACGTTGCATAAAAATTTGAGACAATATAGGAGATTGATAAGCTTGTCTGGCTTTGAAGCCCACCTAGAATGTGAGAAATGTTTGGATAAGAAGCAAATATAAACTGATGAGAAAAGGGAAAGCGCAAACCTTGATATGAGACATTTTGCCAGCACTGATTTCAGGTTAAGATCTGATGTAATGGGTTTCAAACTAGATGAGGACATAGATGAAGAAATTTGACGATGCGAAAAAAATTGAGCGATTTCTAAGCATTAGTAGAATAGAAACGTGAATTTTATTAATTTAAAAAATTTCACGGTATAGATAAAAAAGGGATTACCATGAGAAAGTTCTGAACATCTAAACCGATAATGTGACATCGTTAATACAGAGCGACAAAGAATCTGCTGCAACAGCCGTGGTGAGATTTTGTCTCGTCTTTGAGATATTGGGACATAAAGATCTTGTTTTTGGTGAAAAATTGTGGAAATAATGAGACGGATTTCATTCGATGAATACAAATGAGAATTAAGTAGACGTTCCAGCACAAAATAAAGTGAAAGAAATTCCTCAGGGGTTTTGCATCTTGATATCCTCAGCCAGAGTCTCCTAAAACCTAGTCTTAGGGAGCGTTCTCGTAAATACCCCTTTCCTATATCCGATTGCATTCTAAAATTTATTATAAGACAATGTTAAACTCCGAACAAAGAAAGTAATAAATTAGATGCTTTAAGGTTAGATTAAAAGGGTAGATCACGTAATTACCAACGAAAATGGAAATAATCTAAGCTAGAAGTAAAACAGAATCAAAATAAAAAAAATGCAGGGAGTTTCGATAGCAAATCAACATGCGCGCCTGTATTATGAGGTTAATCGCGTGGAGGTTAATATTTACCAATATGTATTTGTGAATTCAATCAGTAAAAATAAAAATTTAAATTTATTAAACTAATGACATTGCAGGGCAATATCAATTAAATCAATTTAACGGTTTGTTTTAAGATTCGTGCATTTAAAAGATTTTAATAAATTTAAATTTCTGAAAGAACGAACTTTAATTATTCCCATTTACATATTATAGCTGGTTTGTTTTGATTGGCTAAATTCATACCGGCTGCTTTCTGCTTTCGGTTCTTGCTTTTGTGTTGCTTTCCAATTACGATGGCTGGTTATCCTCCTCCTTATGGTATTCCTCCAATGACTTATGCTTCCCAACCATATTACGGGTATGGTGTTCCTGTTGCACCTATTGCAACGCCAAGAACTACGTGGACTGAACATACTTCCCACGATGGCAGAAAATATTATTACAATACTCTAACGAAGGTCACAACCTGGGATAAACCAGATGAGTTAAAGTCATCGTCAGAAAAAGCAATATCCGATTGTCCTTGGAAAGAATTTATTGCGGACAGCGGAAAACCCTATTATTACAACTCGGAGACGAAGGAATCTGTGTGGACAAAGCCACAAGCTCTAATTGATGCCGAACAGAAAGCTTCTACTGCTACACCTAATAAACCCTCTCTAGCTACTGTTCCATGTGCTGCTCTAAATGGAACACCAATTACTCCCTCAACGCCTGCAGAAGAGACCAAACCCAGCGAACCTTCAGAATTGGAAAGGGCAATGAAAGCCACTTTGGAATCTATTGCCACGGAAACCACTGAATCCACTCAAATTCCTCTCCCACCTACTGAGGCAACATCACAAGATGCTCCATCTGCTCCTGAGTATAAAACCCGCGGTGAAATGGCTGAAGGGCTGCGTCGACTTTTTCGGGACAAAAAGGTCCCGGGTAATGCAACTTGGGAGCAGGCTTTAAAGCTAATTAGTGATGATCCAAGATATAACGTTTTGAAGAACTTTGTTGAGAAGAAACAAATCTTCAATGTCTACAAATCCCAACGTCAGAAGGAGGAACGCGAAGAACAGCGAATGCAGATTAAGCAGGCAAAGGAGAATTTGGAGAAATTTCTGCTTCAAACAAGAGAAATTCACTCGACCATGTCTTATAGGAAAGTTGACCAAGTTCTTGCTGACGTGCCAGAATGGACCAGTGTACCTGAACATGATCGAAAAATTCTCCTTTCAGAAGCAATGAATGAAATTATCAAACGAGAAAAGGAGGAGGCGAAGGCTCTTAGAAAGAAGAATATTAAGACTTTCAATGAAATTCTCAGCAACATGCCCAATTTGACTTACAGAACTACCTGGAATGAGGCTCAGCAAATGTTGCTAGATGAACCTAAGTAAGTTCACTGAAGTGATCATTCAAAGAGAGAGCTTCAGGCTTATTCGCCAATTTAATTAAAATGATTTCTAGGCCCAAAGTTTCTTATCTTTGTTCATTGAAAGGGCTTTACTCAGAAGAAGTTTGACGTTTTCTTAAGCTTGGCTTTTTGCCCGGTTTTGTTCTTTCAGCTTCAAGATAATATGAAATTTTATTGAAAAGTTGGAGAACTTATTATTCAAAATTTTTTCTTATTTCTAATGATTTCAGAGCCTATTTTTGAAGGCTTTTCCTATTGGTCATCTTGCTGTGAAAACGCTATCATCTATGCTTGTTAGATTTAGTCAGAGGGTGTGTACTTTTAGAATTCGCGTCCATAGCCTTTGGCCGTTATAATAACTTCATTTCAATGATTTTGTTTCTGCGAAAGTTATACCTTTACTTGTGTTACTTTTGGAACTTATCATGAGTCTTAGACATACCAAATAATATTTTCTCTTGCCTACTTTTATGCTCTTTAATAGAAATATATAAGTTATAAATTGTTTTACTAATTTCATTTCATCTGAAAACATCTTTTTGATCAGTTGCCTGATCTTAATTTCCCCGCTTTTGCAGATTTACGGAAGACAAGGATTTGCAGTGCCTTGACAAAGAAGATGCGTTAATTCGTTTCGAGGAGCACATCCGAATGTTGGAACGAGAACATGACGAGGAACGTGAACGCGAAAAGCGCAAACAGAAAAGAATTCAACGAAAAAATCGTGAAGCCTTCTCTGTCCTTCTGGATGAATTGAAGGAGCATCAACTCCTGACTTCGGTTTCGATGTGGAAGGAGCTTTTCCACATCATTAATAGAGATGAACGCTTCCACGCTATGCTTGCTCAACGTGGGTCTACACCTCTGGATCTATTCAAATTCTACACTGAGAAATTGAAGTATCGATTGCCGGCGGATAAGAAAATCATGAAGGAAATTCTAAAAGAAAAGAACTACACTGTGGAACTCTCCACTGAATTTGATGCTTTCAAAGCAGTGAGTTCGTGTCTCATATCAACTGATTAGTGTGTATTTTATTAATATTCTAAAATTTCTCTTTTTAACTCAACGTATGAAATACTGATTATCCTTGTCACCTGATAGTTTTCAATTCGAAGCAATGAGGGCATTTTCACTGTCAACTCAAGTCACCTCTCTTGCTTCTTGGTCTTCCCTTAATACAAATTTTACTAGGAGCCCAAATAGCCCGACTATTTCGTTGGATGCTTCTAGCCTTATACGATTAACATTTCTTACTGCCTGCTAACCTTAAATCATTAGGTTTTTAAACCCACATCCCAGACGCGTTATTTCCCTTGTTTCTTCTATTTTTCTTTCTTCTTCATTATTTAGATGGTACTGGAAGACGAGCGGTGCAGGACATTGGACATGGGCAACTTGCGAATTATTTTCGACGGTCTTATGGAGAAGGCTCGTAATCGTGACAAGGAGCGTCAACGGGAGGAGGCGCGTAAAATTCAGAAGTTTGAGCAATCCTTTGTAGACATGCTCCGTCAGGCTGATCCCCCCATTGAAGCTTCCACGCCTTGGGAGGAGGTTGCCGAACGATTCGCCTCGAATCCCACCTTCAATGTGAGTCTTAGATCCATTTTTTTGGTAAAATGGTTGTCGTCCCTCTCTTATACCGGGGCAGACATGATTTTGCTCTCCTTCAACTTTTCAGATCAGTGAATTCACGGTTGGTAGGGCTTGGATTTTCTAATTATGTACTGAGTTCATACACGGTGGCTCCTTTTCTTATTTTTTGGAGGGGGTGACAATGTGGTCTATTTCAATACGCCATCCTGATTTGTCCTAGTCACATCTACCCACCCACTGTTAAAAGCATCAAGTGAATTAGTGTGGGGTTACTAATCATTGAAATAAATCGTCTTGTTAGAAAGTTATGAATTTCGCGAATATTATTATTATTATTATCAAATGGCAGGCGTTTTGATAGTTTTCATTAGCCCTTTAATTGACTTCAGGCTTCATAGAGGGGAGGAACATCAAAGTGAAAAAAGTTGAGAGGGGTGGGGGGGGGGGGGGAACAGAAGAGTATTTCAAAAATTATGTAAGAGACAGACATAAAAGTAGAAAAAAATGGCGAGGTGAGTACTGCGGAAATAGTCGAATATGGCAGAGTGGGATGATGGTAGTTTGAAGCCAGAAGTTGACTGCCAGTTAATAGACTTTTTTGCCGTATGAGAATACGTTGCTCAGGGTGCACCACGTGGAGGTAAGTCTATTGCGCACCCCATTTCGCGAATATAAACTCATCCTTAGTAATGAATTTTGCTTTAGCATGGTTGATACTGGTAATCCTGGTGATGCAGAGGTATTCCCTCTCACCTTATGCTTGCGGTCATTCTGCTTCAAAGTAGTCTTTTCTTTCATTTCTTTTTTATTGCCAACAGGTAACAGATAAGCGGTTTTTTGTGTTAAAATGAGTTTTGTATGACAATTGAGTTCCATTTACTCATTGATCTACTCAGTTCTTAAAGTCGTGACAGTTGGAAAGATATTTGTTTGCCTTTTAATGTTGAAAGAAGAGCAACGTTACTCCTGAGCAAATGTAAATATGGTTGTGTTGACGAAATCACTTTTTTTTCATTTTGATGTGTTTTATTCCTCGCGAGATGCCTTTTCCATAATTGTTTAAAGTCTTGGTAATTTCTGTATTTTCAGGCAATAACTCTTCAATCAGAGCGTCTTCGATTGTTCAAGGAGTTCCTCATTCAACGAGACGCTTCCAATAGCCACGAAGGAAAGTCAAGTAAATCACACCCTGATAGGTAAGATCTTGAATCACTTAAATGCTTTTTTTCTATCTTTAAATGGTGTTCTAAGGTCCCACTAAATCTCGACACTAGACCTGCTCTAAGAGTTCTGCCAAGTTTGTATTAAATCCCTACTCCCTTGAGAAATTAAATAATCTTAAAGTCTAGCAGTGTGGGAACTTTTCTCAATGGAGGAGGGTGGTAGGCCGAGAGAGGTTGTCTTTTTTGTGTACTTTGTAAATCACGCTGTTTCGATTAGTTCGCCTATGACTTAATTGACGTCATATGCGTACTACAAGTCCTTAATGTAAACTTTTTGTTTCCATTGCAGGTCCAGATCTCGGGAAACCCGAAGGTCAGACGCTGAGGAGGAAGAAAAGAAGGAAAGAAGTCGGGATCGTGACCGGGACCATGAGCCCGGCGAAGACATTGGCGATGACAATGTTTCTGAAGACGATCGTCATAGGTCTAGCGACAAGCGTTCTTCCCGTAAGCATAAAAAACATCGAAATCATCGCCGCCATCATGATTCAGATGATGACTCCGGTTCTCGAAAAAAGCGCAAGAAGTCTAAGAAATCCCGCAGCAGTCGTCATGGTGACGGTTGTAGTAGTGGGAAGTCATCTAAGCACCGGAGCCGGAAGCGGAGCCACAGTGTTATCTCTGATGAAGAGGTCGAAGAGAATCGTGATCATCGTAGAGATTATTCAGAAGATGAAAGCGGGCCATCTCCGGCTAAAAGGTCAATTCGTGATGAAAAGGATGAGAGAGAAAATTCGCAGATGGTTTCTGAAGTGTCTCCAACGGAAGAGGTCGTGGAAGGGTCGTCTTCATCCAAACGTCGCCGACGAGACAGTCATCCTAGACACCATCGACGCCGCCAGACGACGCGGGAAGATGGAGAAGCCGATAGCTCGGATAGCGTCAGCAGTGGTGCAGAGGGAGCTGAATAAATGATAATGCTTATTTTCTTACTGTTGGTTAATGGTTTCCTCTCCTGTATTATCTGTATAAAATTGCATTCACTTTCCTCTTAAATACACAAAAAAATCACTTTGTTACTCAAATGATTCATGTAGGTTTGATGGTTTGGATTATCTGAAATGCTGGTGACTGTCGTCAGTGTAGGGTAGATTTTTTACGGTATGCTAGACAAAAAAGCCTTGAATCTTGGTATCTTTTATCATTTATTTCATAATTTTCAAAATTCCTTTCTTAGATATGCGAACTTAAACAAAGGCACGCTAGGCCAAGTGAGGCTTGTTGATTTGCGGTTGGCTCTGTGCTTTCCTCACGCGAAGTTTGCGCGGCCGCACATTCAAGCCTGTCTGGATGCGTAGACGTGTGGCGCAAACGTTTAACCTAATAAGGGATTTATGAGGCAATAATGGTATAAATATAGAAAGGCGCATGAAAAATTTTTTGTCAGAGAAGTATTTACCTACATTAAGATTCAAACAGCAAGATCTATTTTGAACATTTACCCTACAGGAGACATGAAGTCAAGTTAGGGATACTGGAGTGCTTCATGAATATGGAGAAAAAGGTTAATGATTATTCCGTTAATGGACATAAGGTGAATCGTGCCTTGACATTTTTCTTATCTTTCACCTTCAGATAGGCGTTCTCTATTATATAGAAAAGGAGATTTCAACATTTGACTTTGATTTCAAATGATTTCGACAGCTAGGTACTTAATGAGAAAAATTTATTTTGGTATTAGTATTTTGGTGACTTAAAACTACATATGATTGAATAGCATGGAAAACTAGGAATGTGGTGGGTCTGGAGCACGGTCGTTCTTATCGAGTATATATCGCGTAAATATATATCAATAACTTTTTTGGATCATTTACTCTCTCTTTAAGTATCGGCGCAATGGAAGTATTTCAGTTAGATTGTTGGTAGGCTTGCAATTTAAGATTGCTTGTGTATATTTTAAGAAGTAATATGGCAGGCGTCAGTAGCTCGAAGTCAAAAAACCACCAATGTACATTTTCAACCGCGTCTTGAGATTATTCCTCATTCTTCTCCATACAAACAAATGCCGCTTCTTAGAGCTTGATATTATAAAAGCCATTGATTCGATCCTCATGTATTAATAATACATAGGCGACATTTGAGATTGGCGCCGACAAATTATTGGCAGTCCTTTGTAGTATTAGTGCTTCTCCCCTCTCACCCTAATTCAACAGTAGCTACCATCATCTCAGGCTATAAAACGCAGCAGTAGAAAATGGATTCTCAGCATTTCAGTAACATTGAAAATGTCTTAATTAACGAAATTTAACACGTTAGCATATCAACGCATTCAAGAAGTCTTGTAATAATTTAACTGGAATTTCCCGTATTAACTTCTTCAATACAGATCAAATTTTGTCAATATTTACACAGATCTTAGTGGCTGCCGCTTAAAGTTACTGTATCCTCGAAATTTCAAACTCAAAATACTACCTTCTTGTCAATGAATAAAGAGACGGAGTGATAACATTCTTGCTATGTGTGATTTACCCATGGTTTAACGCTAGTATGTTTTTTAACAATAACACGTGCATCGGGAAGCCATGAAGATGTTGAACCAATTAATTTTATTAATAAAAAAGATGCGACAAAAATGATTAAGCATTTTTGAGGACCAAGTAGTGTTTTACACAACTGTGCTTATTAGGAAAATGAACATTTTATTCAACGGCAATGTGTTCTGTCTTAATACAGTTCCTTAAGAAAACTCCAAGATATACTAATTCTGGTTGCTGATCATTTCTCAATCTTCATCATTCATTAACTAATATATAAAAATAACGTGGGTTCCGTACTATGGGATTTCCTAAATTATTATGTAAATAATTGACTACTCGAAAAATATTTATTAATATTAAATTAACTGTTCCCTTCGAATTAATATTATAAAATGTTAAAACTTTAAAAAACCTCAAAACGTTACATGAATATTAAAAATATTGTGAATTCTGGTTTTGAAATTTGAATATCGCTATAGTTTTAGCTCCCAATCATAAAAGCAGGAGCGCGATTCATAAATTTTTGTTAAAGACTTTCGTTTTTGACATATGATATTCTGCATTTCGATGGAGTATTCGCAATAGTATAGATCATTGGTTAGTTTAAAATTCAATATAGAAAATATGGCTTTTAATTTCCTTTAACCATATACATTTTGTTGGCACAATCTGCACAATATATTTTTTAAATGTCTTTATTTATCACTCTTATTAAAATATCTTCGATGTTAATTTCATTATCGTCTATATTTAGCTGAGAATAAATCATCTGATTTAGCTCTATTAACTGAAAATGATCAATTTTCAGCATTCCATTAAAATTACTTGAGTTATATACTTTCTATCCAATTTTTTTCTTGTTTTCATATTCATTTGATTATTTTTGGTTTTAGACTTGTTTCAATAGTTGATTAAAGATCATCCACGATGCAGCGAAAGGGTCAGCCTATTATGATCCTTACTTGCCAACATGATTCGCATTACTTTGAAGAGCGAACTATTGTTGTAACTGATATTATTAAAGTAGGTCGAGCTGTTGCACGTTCTAAAGCGGCCCCAAATAATGCGATTTTCGACTGTAAAGTCCTCTCTCGAAATCACGCAGTTATTTGGTACAGTAATGAAGAGGTATGCTGTTATAGCTTATCTTTTTATTATTCTATGTCGATTAGTTCTGGCTTCGTGACACAAATAGTAGTAATGGTACATTTGTAAACAACACTCGTGTGACTAAGCGAGATGACAGTGATCATTGTGATCGACAAATTTTCTCTGGTGATGTGATTCGATTCGGCGTGGATGTAGTGGAACATGATACTACTCATGGATGTATAATCGCTACAGTAACGCTTATCCTCCCCAACGGTCTCGAGGCTAAGGCAAAACTTGGTCATCCTTCGGATGCCCTTACCACAGGTCTAGTCTCGATCAACAATGAACAAATGTTTCAAATTTCCTGCTTCATTAATGATGCCATTTTCCGTGAAGAAGCCTTGGATAAAAAGCTAGATGTTTTGCGCAAATCTCTTCGGCAAGCTACTCTCGCTTCTGAGCTGGGTTGGCAAGCTATGCTCAATCAAGAAAAATTACTGCAGAAATTTGATTTGTATGAAAGTCAAATACGGCTTTTCAAAGAAGACCTCTCGGAAAACTCGCTGAAGTTAAAATTGTGCGATTTGCTTGAGGAGAAAAGTTTGCAAGAGGAGGAGAGTAAAGCTCAACTAACTAAGCTTGTTAAGGACAAGGAGGTAGCTTTGCAGCGTATTAAAGATCTTGAAGTAAGTATCCGTTTGAATGTTTCTTTCCTTCGGTGTTGATTACTAAAGTAAACGATTCTTTTTTCAGCGGACAATCGAGGGTTTGCAAATGGAGTGTAATCACCTACGAAATGAGTATAGCTCAGCTCATGATGCCTGTACTAATATTTCGGATGAATACAAAGCTAATCTAACTACGATCTCACAACGTCTCAATGTAAGTCAAATGTTGCTCATTCATTTTAAAAAAAGTTTGAGCTATGTTTTCATTTCCTACTTCATAATCTCCGTTATATTCTTCCATAATTATGTGGTGTAAGCAGGAGTAAAATTGGGGAACATGCTAGATCCTAGACAATTTATTAAAATATTCGCCTTTAGCGTTCTAGTTTCCCTTGCATAAGTCACATTGTCTCTTTTTACTCAATCATAACGGTTCCTTGCCAATTTTTTCATGGAATATTTAAGCAAAATGCCAATGTAGTCCCCGAAGTTCCCTTGCTTTGAATTCGCTACGCAGAGTAATACCCTTATTTGATGCATCTTATTATAGGTATTCTGTTGATAAGCGATTTCATCGGGAGGTGATTTAATTTACACATTTTAAGCTAGCAGAATGTTCAGGCTTTTTGCAGGTTTTTTTTTCTGCACGTATCAATGGCAGAAGAAAATTTCGAGGACGATTAGCAAGCTCCCACTATATGTTATTCCTCAATTTCATGACCTCTTGTCTGAAACTCACTTAATATTTCACCTGTGTTAAGCCTGTTTTATTCTCTTATAATTCGATTTGCTTCTCAGGATTTATCCACTGAACGCAGTCAGTTGAATGAGCAGCTGCAAAAAGCTAATCAAGAAAATGACGTCTTAAAGGAGCAATTAGAGCGCGTTACTCAAGATTTGGCTGTGACCAAGGAACAGTATGAGAAGGCTCAATTAAAGGGTAATTTTACTTCTTCGCGTCTGAGTTTGTTTAATTGCTTTCTTTCATTGCGTTTTTTTTTCATAGGATCATCTAGTTTCATTAACGGCCTCTCCTATGTAGATGATGTTGAAAAGGGTGTGTGCTTATTTAAGTTTGTGGCATTGAACTTACCCCGCATCTACCTATCTATCTATCTATCCACTTTCCCATTCACATTTACATAGGTATGAACGAGGGTATCAATTCCATCGATATGGTAATAGAATCATGCGAACCAGCTCTTGCACAGAGTCAGCCCATCGGTAAATGCAGTTTTCCATCCATCCTTTTACGAAAAGCACCTTATCCATCTCCCATTTACTTGTTTAGATCACGTCAGTAGCGATGAGGTGGATTCAAGCAAATCGGAGGCCAATGAGTACATTTCTGATAGTATTCGAGATTTCCATCGAGCTTTGGAATTAATTCGCTTACTTGACGGTGAGTACACCTACTATTTCTTCATTTACAAGACTTAAGGTTGAGCCGACAATAATAATGTTACTTTTATTGCTCCGCTTTCTAAGCTGCATGTTTTTTGTATCTACGTGTCTGAACTATTTCGTGTATCTATTTACCTCTCTAAAGCCAAGAATCGCTTGATTGGCTCCTGACAAAATATTCATATGCGTTTGAAATTTCCAGCTGTTGTAGTAAATTTATGTGTATTGCGTGAACAATGGGGTTACAAACTTATCAACTCCTTTATAGTATAATCATCAGGTGTTTACGTCTTGTGAGCCCGGCCCAGGCCAGGCCATGTATCTACTCACTGCATCCTGGAGCCTCTATTTAAAAATATTCATTTTCTAACTATTCTATTAATAATAAATATTATTTATTCCGCTTAAAAGGAAGACGATGAACTATCGCCATGGTATTTAATGAAAGGAGGAGAAAGTGTTTGTTTAAAAAGCTATTTTAGAAACAGACTGTTATTTATAATTTGAGTTGCCATCCGTTACCACTTTTTTTTAATTTATTCGTGAATTTTTGGGCTTTATAGCTTTATTTCACTTTTCTAGGCGGTTGGCTTTAGAGCCTTTTGTGTCTTTGTTGTGTCACACCGTTTATGATCAATTTTTATCTCAAGGTTGAATAGCTTTTTTGTGCTTTGTCAATCATTGCCACAATATAGGGTCTTGTTGGCCCTAGGGTCTTCTGACTTCTTGTCAGACGAAGTTATTACTAGCCAAAACTCCTCCCTATTTCTGCATGCACACTGTGTGTGTTGGCGTCATTTTATCTTAGCGTAGTGATTTACGTAATTCAATTAGTCTCTATTGTGGAGTCTAATAGCCACGTGTCTTGTTCTTTTATGTTGGTTAGCCCCATAGACGTTCCTAGATTTGATTATGAACTTTTCTTTAGTTCTTTGTTTATTTCCTTGATTAAAGGTATGCTTATTTAACTTTGCCCTTTGTTCACCTGTGTTTGATATGCTTCCGGAATCACAACAATGCTTCGTCCATGTTGCTATTTTGTATCAAGTTTTAGCGATATTTGGGCTGTCTTGATTAACTACTCTGGCCGAATCACATTGAGCATTGTTCAATATATAACTTCTGAACTCTTATCCGTTTTATAATTTTAAACTTTTCACATCCAATGTAATACTGTAGTCTTCTAAAGTTTTGTAACTGTTAAGCAATAATCTCTGTAGGGAATGTGGTATCTGACAACCTAATTTTGTAATTCTTTTCGAACTTGCAGCGAAGGTGTCCTCTCTAGCAATCACCACAGATTTGGATGAGAAAAAGTTCGAAGATGCTTCTAATGACAATGACTCTGCGGTTACCAATAGTAACGAAATTTCAAGTCTTTCAACCACTTCAATCGATAGTATCGTTAAACGCATTGTTCATCACAACGAGGCTGCTATGACTAGTCTTCATGCCTATCTCCGACAGGTCAACCCTGCTGCAGCTGCCGAACTTATTAACAAAATCTGTGAGTCAACCGTCTTTTTGCATTCTCGTAAAACTCGATATACTGCTTGTGCTGTGTGAATCTGCTGAGAGTAGCTGCTGTCGCACTAATTCATTTATTTTCATCGTTGTGCTTTTTTTCTGCGAGATTATGAGAAAAATAGTGTCCTGCATTGCTGTGCTGGCTTTGATTGTTTTCATAGAGTGAGGAAGAGAAGTGCTCAAGATTTCACATAGTCGCGCTAGTGACATTGCAAATTGTTGAGTTAAATTTAGGTGGGACCTATTTCGAAACCTCGAGAAATTACACTTAATATTGAATTTCGATTTATATATAGCTCTCTTTGAATTAAACGTTTGATTATATATGTGGATTTGAGCCTCTAGAATGTGTCAAATAGTCTTATGGTTTCTTAAATTCCTATTTAAAAATGTTTAGACTTACCAAATATTTGCGTCATTAATTAACAATTCTCGTAAACTCAAGGGTATAGTAGAATTCACTATAGTGGGTGCTCTATTGATTATATTTTGGCGCTTATTGTCTATCCCCCTTTCTAATTTGTTCATCTGAAATGGTTTTCCTCATTTGACATTAGTTTCTCTTCCAAAGTAGAACATTTCTTGTTGTAATATTTCAAACCAGGTCGCCTATTGGGTATTTAATGTGAATCTTCTGAATCGATTAATTGTTATTTTCTGGAATTACTAAATTTACATTTGAAGAGATTTCCATGCGAACTGAGACGTTTACCGCTCGGTTTCCTTCACTACGGTGGTGCTTTCTTGACTGGTTGACTCATTCTCGGCCAAATAATTTGATCCACTCAATCTGGCACTTGTGTGCTTATAGGATTGTCTGTATATTATTTGTTGTGTGTGTGTGTTGTCGTTCATATCGATATAATTTTAAACAACGCCTATTAGTGCAAGTGAATCATAATTTATTAAGGTAGGATATGGTGACAGCTTATTGAAACGAAGGATGTTGCACTTTGTAAACAATTTTCAGAACATTACAGAGGGTAATTTAGTGAGCCTTCGAAGCACTTATGTTTGGTAGAGGGTGGTATCATAGAACCGTCTTCACGTGAAATTCATTATTGAGTCTTGCTTAATTGGCATTGAACTCGTGACATTTGATTTCCCTAATGCTACTAGTTTACAGGCATCAACTGAGGACATTTCTGTGGACATTTTTACGCAGTCAGAATTTAATTAGTCTAACTCAATCTCTTTATTAAATAAAACCTTTTTATCTATGCATTAAACCCGTGGTTCGTGCAGGTGTTTACTTTAATAAGCTTTGCTGTTCTAGGACACACCCAATCTCATTGGAATTGACTGGTTGCTTTTCGCTAAAACCTTCATGCTTGCCATAAAATTTCCATTGCATTAGGCTGTGTGCTTTAAATAACCTCTAATTCTCTATTCCCATATCAGAAACTAGCTTTCTACTACTATTACTACTAATTCTGAATGTGTGACTTTTATCATTCCAATAAGGGCCAATTGTAATATCAGAAATTGGTGTTTTTGCTAAGGCCACGGTTAGTCGGGCACTCGTCTATTAAAAACCAAGTCAATTGTCTGTTACTTAATTTTCTTTTAAAATTTCTCAAATTGGTTGTCTTTTCTTTCTTTTTTTCCTTGGAGTTCTTTTTCTCTTCTCTAATAAATTGCTTGACCTGATCTCCAGTACTATTTATTTCAGATTTGAGCAACTCGGGTGGGGAGGAAGCACTGGACTCTTCCACCTCTTCCTTCGAAGTAAAGACTTACAAACGACCCGACTACCTCACCCTCAGCAATAGCAGGGTGTGTTCAGAAACATCCTCTTTTTCTTCAGAAATTTCAGCAGTTCCCTCTTCAACCGGTGTGACAGTGGTGGGTGCCGACTCTCTCTCCGCCTCACCAACCGTTTCTAGTGGTAATGGTTCTCTCTCCTGTGCAATGACTCCCGACTCAGAGGAAGTCGCACATTTGCGCGGTGAGTTCTCGTGTTCTTAATGGATCAAATTTTCACTTAAGTCTTCTTTTATGGAAGCTATGGCAGAAAAATCGTGTTCATCTAAAGCAGCCTTATATCTGAGTGGTAGAATATATATATATATGTAAAAAAATTTTCCCACAACATGAGACATGAGATTATCGCGGAGCTTCAGAGATGCTATCATCTACATAAAATGGGTTTGAATACATTCTACGTCAGCAAATTTTTTGTACCTAAGGATTCCGAGGTTTATACGTTCAAATCCTGCCATTTATTGCTTCTGGTGAAGTCGCGGATTGATGCGATCCGTTTGCTTTTCACTAATCACTATTGCACCATCTTGAATTAAATTTGGACATTGTTGTTTAACACAATCGTCGTTTAGTTTTTTCACTGCGCACATGATGTATTTTTCAATGCATAGAAATCGCGTGCCACCAGCTAGTGGGGATTATATGGATGTAACGACTCATTTTTAAATTGCCATAGGGTGTTTTTCCTCCACCCATTTGCAGTGTCAACTGGTGATCTGCAGTTCTGAAGAGGTCATTCATTGCACATAGTGACCATTCTGTTTTAGAGCCTGATTTCTCATTCAATTCCTATCCAAGTCGTTAGTTTTGCCTGTACTAAGCGTTAAAATAATTCACCTCTTCACTTTTAATGATAGCAATGTATTCCTCACTGTAACAAACTCGAAAGAGCCTAATCTTCAATGATCTCCGCACTTTTCAGTTCTTTTATGACTTAATGAAATTAAGGTCGAAGTGTGTGGGGGGGGGGTGGTATTCAATTATCAATGTTTCAAGATTGTTTCAGTCTCCAAAATAACTTGTGGAAATTGTGATTAACACTTCAAACGCCATGCGTTTGAATGCTTATATATGTGCTGTATTTTGTCCTTCATGTAATTCAAGTCATAATTAAAAACTACTTTTCGTTTAATTCTTTGTTACTGGTTTTCCCTTTCCATTGTGTCTACTTTGATCCAATGTTTTGTCTTGAAGTAATTAATTATATAGATTTGATTGTATCTATATGTGTTTTTAAGTGTGTGTGTATTCGGGAAATGTCAAACGTGGGCAATTAGAGTTTATCTCATATTTACTTTCAATTTGTTGACAGCAGTTTTTTATTGAAGAATTTTGAATCAGTTTCTTTTGATGGTATAAAAGTCTTTACAAAGAGCATAAACTCAATGTGTAGGATTCTGGAAGCCTTTCCTCAAAAAGCCCTTCAAATTGGTTCCTAACCCATATAATTTGATAAAGGCTCTTTGGGTTAACATTGGTCAGCATTTGCGACTGCGCATTGATGTGTTCGTGATTTCAGTTTTTGTGCATCCCTCAAGAGCAGAGTACGTGTAAAATAGGCTGAATAATCTGCGTGTGTGGCAGCGTTTAACGTCCTCGTCGTTATATACTCGGTGAGAGGAATGTTGTTTCCCATTTTGTAACGTGTGACACATGGAAGAATCATGGGGACTTGACGTCGGGTCTTTTGTTTGTCCTGCGCCAAGACGTGTGATTAATTCGTGTCCCAAGGCCTCTCGTGTGTGTGTGTGTGTGTGTGCCTGTTACACTTAGTCTTGTGTGCGAGGGCTGCATGTGTGCTTTGGCGTGTGCCCAATCAAAACACTTGTGGACCCTCTTTCTTTCATTCTCCTCGTCTGCCAACTGCGAACACGTCCTATTTTGCACCCTACTTCATGATCGAAAATCACATTTCTTCCACGACATCGCAATCGTTTTGCTTTACTAGTTCAGTCTAAAATTAGCTATTGTTACCTGGTTGGCTTGAATGTAGAGGGCTGATGGTAGAAATTTAATTTGGACCGGTTTATAATGAAGCTATTTGTTTTTTCTACTTTCTCGTTGAACAGTATTACTATTAGCTTCATGCATATATACTAACCCTTTTTACAGTGTTATTAACAATTCTCACATAAATTGAGCAATTGCAGAGAAACTGTTGATGTATTGATTAGCACACCTTATTTGAAATCAGAGCTCACCTGTTCGACGTCTATCGATCATCCTCGGTGCTCAGCATGGCTGACCAATCAGGTTTAGTCTGACCAATGAAATTGAGGCTTTATTCAAGTTTCATTATGAGGAGGGTCTCTATTGTGCTGCCACGATAGTCAAGGAAAGCCTTAAAAACTTGACCCCTTAACTGACTCGGGTGTTAAAAAATCTGCGTAATCATTCCAATTTCATTTTTAGAGTTATTTTCGTTTGCTGACTGTTTTCAGGCACGTAGTGTATGGTATTGCGGAACGTCTCATTGCTCTTTTATCTGTATTTGAGTTATAGGCTATTTACAAAGTTAGTATTGTAAATTATCGAGTCTACTTTTCCCCAGTCAAATAGTTTGTCTCTAGGTGATTGAAGCTGTGCCGTCTGCCAATCTTTAATAGCTTTTACAGTATAACGTTCTTTTTTCTCTCCGTCATTTATTGATGTTATGGCTAGGAGATTGGATGGCTGGAACACACTAGAATCATGGAATACAAGTGTCAAAGGACCGTGGGATCGCAATTTGGACTCTTACATCCAGTCAACTGAGTGTTTGAGTCTTCAACATTAAGCTTACACTCAATGATAACTTTCGCTACTCAAATTCATGTAAGCGTCACAAAAGCCGGCTTCCTACTCAAAAGTATCACACAAAAATAATCTCGTCTGACAAGTGAGGAAACTTCTGAGCAAGGTGTAACACATCCTGTTGAAGCACAGCCCATCTGGTACTGTTCCAATGTGGTAAAAAACATTCGGGGGTAACAAGAGGCTTGGCTTGTTAAGGATCCGATTGGCTCAAGTTGTCATGGTTTTCGGATGAGGGTGATGTGGTCCTTCCGCATTTTTTTTTCAATAGAAGCTCAGGTTGAACTCAGTTAATTACGTGTTGAAGTGCTGACTGCAGTGGCAACAAAAGTTTTTTAAGTATTTAATGTTCCCTATCACAACTCAGAAAGAAATGACAATTGTTGTTGGCTAATTATTGCAGCCAAAGCATGCCTGAAATTTGCTCTCCATCCTTACTCCTTTATCCCAACCCCCCGATGGGACTGCAGTGAAAGACACTAATTAATGCCCAAGCACTACATAAGCCCTTTCTCGGGAAGGTGTCAATTCGACTTGTTCCTCCAGGTTCCGGAGTCAAGGCTGTGGTTGAATTGAAATGGTTATAGACGCTGATGACGTCTATTTTGGGTCGACCTCTTTGAAGATCGTCTATTAACTTTTGTTTCAAGAGACTGGCAACTCTATCCGATGCCTCCTCTCTTTTAAGAATCTTTTCTCTACAATGTGACAAATGAAATTCTTTTATTTGTGGATAACTATATCGATTTGGTAAAAATTATTCCAACTTTGTTAATTTCAGAAAGCGTTCGTTTGGCCAATGAAGAAATTGAACAGTACAAGGCGCACATCGCAGAACTGCAAAAATCAGGTGTGTGATTGTCGCGTTGTTTAGGCATATACAATGAAGTATATACTTTCATTTAGCAATATACGGTCGTTGTCGTAATTAATTTTTTAAGCAATGTTCCCTATTGACAATCATTTCATACCATTGAAAGGAGTCTACGTAATAACTGCATTCATATAAGCATTCGATTTTGTCCCTTATTTCTGCGCTAATATATAGTGGGAAGGAAGGGTTGTTATCCTCTTACAGAGGGTTTAGTCATTAGCTTTTTCCAACTCTTCAGGATATATTCAAGATGATGCTCTAGACTCATATCAGCCCCATGACCTCGAAATTCCGGAATTCTGGGAACATTATAAGCTACTTTACATTCGGTAGGAGAGTTTAGCGCATTGACCAATTTCTAAGCAAACTTGTGTCCGACTGGAAGGTTTTTACTGACCAATGCAAGATTTTTCCCATGAAAATTTTGACCAATCACGTATTAAACTAAAATATCAAGGATTCACTGTATTCTTAAATTTTTGTAGTAGGGACACCACCCAGTGAGTCCACCCAGAGCACGACTTCCGAGCAGGATTTGGAAGAGATGCACGCAGAATGCAACGTGCTACGCGCTCGTCTCGGCGACATTGAAGAACAGATGGCACAGACACGCGAAAACCATCGTCGTCTTGTTGAGGAAGCACGCCAACACCGCGATGAAGTCGAGAAACTGCGCTTTCAACGTTCTCAGCTCGAATCCGCTTTGGCAGAAGCCCAGGATCAAATTGAAAAGCTTCGTTTTTCCTCCTCCTCCTCCTCCAAGAATTCGTACATTCATTCAAACCCTCCAAATCACAACGCCTCCACTTTCTCATACTCGAGTTCTAGTTCAAATGCTTCCTCTTTTGTGGCTGAGTCTGTCCACTCTGACCGTCTTGAACTCGCGCCCAGCCGATTGGTAACGGTACGTCTTCAAAACTCCACCATTCATTCCCTCTCTTTCATTATTGAGCTGGCTTTATCGTCATCTTGCTTCAGGTTGCTACTAGCTCTGAGGCGTAAGTGTATGTATCTATCGACAATAAACTAATACCAACAACAACAATAATCATAATAATAACGCTAGTGCGAGATAATAAACAGGCAGCTAAACAGTGGGATAGCAATAGAATTAACAGTGGACTCGTGTTTTTGTGGTCTTTTGTTTTAGCTGATGCATTGAGTCGGTAAACTCAACTTAACGAACATCTCTTCTTCCCCTATGTCATGCATACATACACAAGCACACACACCCACGCGGGCACACATGCACACTTCAAAGTTTGGAGTGGATCTACTGCGTTTCTGCGGTGTTTCGTGCTCTTCTCCTTTGATCGCTTGTGTGTTGCCCACTGCCACTGCGTTAACCCCGCCCCTCATTTAACACGGAAGACCAACTAAACACTACGTCGCCCCTGCTTCATGCAAAAGAAATTTGATTTACTTCTACTTCTGAAAGTCATTCTACCTCTACTGCTGTGTTTTGTGCATTTAACCATGTTGCTGCATTAATGCAATGCATTGAAAAACCGGCTCCCATTTTGAGTTTTCTGTTTTTTGCGTTTTAGGCTTCGTCATTAACTGTAATTCCACTCATGATCTTGGTGTTCGCTGTAATGTTTGCGATCTTCTCAAAGTTCGTCAGTTAGAGGGCAAGAACGACTGCAATGACTCCAACAGTCCCCGTCATCCAATAATCCTCCCCTTGTTGATTGAATACACAGGGACATATCACACATCACTAACCCCCCCCCCCTCCCCACTCAACCCCCTCCCATATATTCTCTCTTTCGTTCCCCAGCCTCAATGTTCTGTGTTTCTGCTCTTTCAACTCTCTCTTAGTGTAAACAGCTAACTTGGTCACACTAGCCATTCACTCTCGTTTGTAAATAACAATAGGTTGTTCCACTCAATTTCTCTTTTCCCTCCTATGCATCAAACTGTGCTGATTTGTTTTGCGGCACAAAGAAGACCGCGAAGATCTTGGGAGTTTACTGTTTTTCCTTGACACGAAAGCAGGAGTGTGTCTATATTTCGGCTTCGCGGAGTTTCGGTCACAAGTTCTGTTCGCGCTCTTCCTTTCCCCCCCCCCGGGTCAGTACAAATTTTATGCAATACTCCCTGTGGATCCCATCCACAAACACAAACTCCCAGTTATCGTCATTAACCCCTCCCCCTCTACCCCTGTTTATCTCGTTTCCCCTCCCAATCCGAACTCCATTATCTTCATTTTAATGGGCACATACTCACGTGAACGCCCCACCAACTGTGCGCGTGTGCCAGATTGATTATCTGTCAATAATTTCTAAATATCCTCGGTTTATTCATTTTTTATTTTGTCTGTTGGGGGGGGGGGGGGACTCTGGGTGAACTAAGTACATAACGAAACAGTTGTTTCTTTTTTAGACAGACTCGTTCGCGTGGCCTATAGGTAAATAGGGCATGGCTGCTAAAAGGCTAACTCAAGATCAGGTGATCTATCTTAAAAGTAATGGACACGGGACACCTGAAACATTGCCTTTTTTCTCACCCTAAGATTGGTAGATCTGATTATTTACTCTGGGAGAAAGCAAAGTAGTTTTTTTAATAGAACAAAGCCTGGGGACGACGGGGGGAGTCGAACGTGGAACTGTAGAAAACGGAGTTAGTAAGCGAGGTCTCTGTAGCGGTGCTTATTGAGTAAAAAGAATCTTAGCTCTGTACGTTAAGTGGTTGGAATGAAATTAGGATCCTATTGGTAGGCAGATGGACGAATTCGGACAGTGGCGTTTTCAATTAATTAAAATTTCACAAATCCGCATGTTAATCAAATTCATTGGGTGAGCCTGATTCACCTCAGATGGTTGAGCAGTGGGTCATAAATGCATAAATAAGAACGCGAGGCGAATATTCAGCAATGTAACCATGCTCTCGCTTTTCAATAAGTCCATTTCACAGAGCAAGGTAATTAAACGATTCAGAGTCAAAGTACTTCAATTCACTCAGTGAAGGTTTTTGCGTTAAGAGTCTTTCACCTTCGCATTTTAAAGCTTTAATGAGAAAATAGGGGAAAAAAATCGATCTTAATTTTGTCTGTAATTAGGGGGTCACAACGAATTGCTGAATTGGTGATTTTCAATGGCCTTCGATATGCAAATTCAAAGCGCTTTGGCCTGATCTTGATTTCTCCAGGTCAGTTCATTAATCAAAGCTGGCAGAGAAGGGCACATCACCCTTCACGAACCATGTGATGGGCGTGGCCACGACCTTGAGGAATCATTTAGCACCCACGTACACGTGAATAATAACTATGAGGGGGGGAGGGGGGGGGGGTTGGAGGGAATTGTATTTGCAGTTCGCATAGACGTCGGTCACTCTCGGGTAAATGAAGGGCGATAATATTATCTAGTTCACAAATACCGAGTTAAATGGCGGGTGAAAGGCTTTCACAACTTGGCGACTAGTAAAATCTGTAGTGAATTTCTTGTAATGATGCAAGTCGGTTAGGTTATTAGGCAATTTTGAAATTCATAAAATATCTTGTCTTATGGGAAATCAATCAAGATGAATTAAATGTGACTAATGTAAAATCGAATTAGGCCTTGTCATTTGGATATTAATGCGTTCTTCGTGGTTCGATTGCTCAAAATTTGACCTATTTGGTCGCAAAGTCTGTGAGCTAAGCTAAACAACGATGCCAAGCTTTGACTTCCAACAATTTGCGATATTAATCGCCCAATTGTCTCATTTCCGCTTTCCATTCGTTTTTTTCCATCTATTAATAAAGTAACGTTATTTTTTAATTGCCGACCTTCCTATTTTGATCCCCCCAATCTGATCCAATTTCGCACGAGTTGAGGAATGAGCAAGTGCACTTTTATGCTCGTGATTTGGCTTTTTAACATTTTTCACATTTTACAGATCTTTTTAATTAATTTTAAACTTAATGCTCTAAAAGTCTAATTTTTGAGTCAAGTGGATTAATAAAATCAATGACTGAATAAATGTGGTGGGGGGTTGTGATGGAAAGTGACTTTTATGCCATATGATCGGCAGATTTGCCCTTGGTTTCACGACATTGTCAATTCTGCTGCAATCTAATTACTTCCTCCGATCTCGTCTCGGGAGCAATACGAAGACAATTTTTTTAGATTCATAGCAATTTCATCACCTATTCCCCAACTAAACCAATATTTAAATTTAAATTAGCTAAAAATCTTTCTTTTTGTCAAAAATAATTATCTGTTTCCATGACATTGTAAAGTGTATGAGCAGCTTTCACGCTCTTGCCAGACAAATTAATCTTCACGCAAAACCGATGGTTATGTGTTGGTGAAATCATAAAAAAGTCTATTTTTTTCAAACGGAAAATGGGCTACCAATTTTGCCAGAGGCAAAAAAAAGTTGGGGCTTTCGATATTTTCCCAACAGGTCGCAGAATAAAACTTGGTTCAATGATGAATTTGGTCTACCTGAACTGGCATCATCATCAACTTCCAATCGCGTGGGGAAGCCTATGAAAATGAAATGTTGCCATAGTTGTGCCTTTTCGGAATTATGCAACCATAGAGTTGATCATGTCCTCATAAGGAGTATGGTTTACTTCGCAATGTCCTAATACTCACATTGCATGAATTGACAAACCAGATTCACGAATGCGTTTTTTTATTCACCCCATTTCAGAGTTTGTCTGTCGTTTGGTTTAAGTTCTGCAATTAGCCTGTTAATAGTCTGCACCAGACTCCAACTAACGGTTACGAAACCTTAACGAATATTCTCTATTGCATTGAATAGGAACTTATTAAGTTGGTCTCACATTTTTCTGCGTTATCGTTTAACGAAGCATTTCCGCTAAAATTAATGTACGCTAAATCACTTGTCGAGAGGTTAGTTTCGCCTTAGAGTGAATCGTTAAAAAGTAAATCAGATGTCACAAGAAAATATAAGTATTCAAAGCAAAAACGGAAATAAATAAACTGTTAATATAGTGATGAGTTAGATAGCGCGCTAACTAGGGAGTTGCTTCAAAAGCCTGCATGGTCACCACCTTTGCGATAGTCCGAATTAACAAGAAGGCAGCGACCTTCAGATTGACCTGGGCATGGGGATTTCATGACTTCAATTCCTTGAACGGCTGACCTAAGGCCTCCTTTACTTAAATCGTGACCCAGAGCAGCTAATCCCTCCAAAATTTCCTGCAACAACAAACAGAGAAGCGTAAGGTAACTTTACGTCAAGTAAATTTTCAATGAGTATTTAAAATGATAGGCGTTTTGATAATTATCATTAGCCCTTTAGCTAACTTCGGGCTTCACAGAGGGGAGTTACAGAAGAGGGATTCACAGATGTAAGAGAGACAGACGCAAGGGTAGAGAAAAGGTAAGATGAGTACTGTGGGGTGGAATAATATGACATAGTGTTGGGTCATAGCAGTTAGAAATCAACTGTCGGCTTATAGACTTTTTTGCCGTATGAGTATACATTGCCCAGAGTGTACCACGTGGAGGTAAGTCTATCGTCCACCTCAGAAAGCATATGAATAAACGAATGCAAAATCGTGAGTAGATTGAGGACTGGGTGTGCTCTAAGTTAATCTGCTTATGGCGAATTGTGAGGAGAGAGTCGATTCCTCAAAGTACTTTTAAATCAAAGGGCAAATGTTCACCTACGAGCAGTTTTTGACAAATTAGAGGTTTATGCTGTGAACCCTCGAATAATTTTCAAGGCGCCCACTTTCAAGCAATAATTTTTAAACCGTCGGATTCTGAGAGAGGGGAGGCGGTTGTTACAATCTCATAAAGCGCTCTCATTGGCCATAAGCCTTATTTAAACTAAACCAACAGAAATTTAGATTATATAAGTTTGTAAATGGTCATCTAGCTAGTAAAATGGACCATTGACAAACATGACAAGATGCGATTACCCTACTAAGGAAGAGTGTTAGCTTAATGCTATTGTTTCGTTGAATGGGGGCATAATTCCCGATAACCACAATTCTACTTAATTGAAGAAATGAAAGTTAGGATTTCGTTCAATTTTGCCTTCTATTTATCAACTTACCGAAGACATTTGAACTTCGTACTGTAGTTTATCTGGAAGTAATTGATGATGTACCCGAATGGCGTCAATAGCCTCCTTCATATTCATGCCCAACTTCAAATTCGCGTAAGTTGCCTGCAAGAAGTAGATAATGAAGAAGATACAAAAAAAGTGGAATCATAGAATAGGAACATGCCTTAAAAGGAGGAGACAATACCTGAATAACTGAGCTAATAATCCTTGAACCCCCCGCTCCGCCGATAATAACACGAGGAGTGCCGCTTGATGCATCTGTAATTATAACCGGTGTCATGGAAGAAATCGGTCGCGCGCCAGGTTTGATAAAATGCTTTGGTGAAGGTGCCAATCCGAAGGCGTTTGGGGAATTCGGTGTGGAGAAATCATCCATTTCATTATTGAATAGGATTCCTGTTCGCGAGCCGATAACGCCAGAACCAAACCTACCGAAAAGAATTCAGTATACAGTTTTTGGTCCAAATTTTCCCTGAATTACCAAAAAGTGTTAAGTATCACACTTATTGAGACTCCTATCTTACTTAGAAATTACCTTACCCTTATATGCTACACATAAATGGGATCCAAATGTACACATGTATGTCAGATGATATTAATGCATATTACTTATAAGAGCTACTTACAAGCGCCAGGTTTATAAGGTAGTTCTTGCATTAAGTAAATGTACCCATCCAATCGATGTTCATTTGCTGTAATATTTCAAAGTTAAAAAGATATAACATAAGCAAAATAGTTATGTGCTTAGTCACGCCATCGCAATCTAATTTCAAGCGGAGAGTCGATAATCTGAATAGATTTTCCATATTCCAATACAAGGGTTAAATAGGATAACCTAGTCAATACGCCAAAAGGTCACAATGTCATTTATTGGGCCTCAAAAACGCACTCTTCTTCATACAAATACGCTATACATCCGCTCTCAATTTGCTCTTAGCCTCAATCAATCATTACAAACAAAATCTACCAATTTAAAATTGTTTTACAGATTTTATTAGGAAATAACATTAGCGACTTAGTGTTTGAAATTTCTAACTCGAATGATAATTACAGGTAATATTTTTCCTATGGAACACCCCAAAAAATCCATTTGCATCTAATTAAATTTGCATAATCGTATTAACACTGGAGGATTGAAAATAGGCACATTTCCAAATTCAATCGTGCTGGATTGAAATGGTTATCTTTTTCCTGAGGAAGTGACAAATTTCATTAACTCCCCCGATTTTTGTTAAGTTATACAGGAATCGTTCAATTTTCGATTTACGTAGTTCTCCCATATGTCTCCAATTTTGTGAAAAAAAATTTGGTGACGAAGATGAAATAATCAATAAAATATATAAAGATTTCCATTACGCCCATTTCGATAAAATTTAAAATCAATATCAAATACTTTAGTGCAAAAGCTTACGGTGTATTGATTGTGGAGGTAATGGATATGGCGTCACCATTAGGTCCCACAATGCTGACATGTGCTGTGCCATGATCACGTGGAGATGGGAATATTGATCCGTAGTAGCTTATATTGTGCGTTCCGCTGTCAGTTACGTTTGCAGCTATTTCGTCTGCTGCTTCCAACGTCATCAGTCTATCTAGGAACTTGTTTCATGGAGAAAAACGATACTGTGATGCACTTTGTAAAAATGACTGTTGACATTAAGCAGAGTTGCATTAAACGGTTTGGGAGATAAAAACTGCAATTGACAATCGAGTCTAGCTGATCAATAAAGGAGAACTGAATAAATCATATAGTTATTATTATACTAAATGTCTTTGCGGTGTCGATGACTTTGTGGGACACGTCATCGCATGCCTGCACGGCAGGATTGGGAGGTGCTACCGTACAAACAGTGATCAATCATTAACCTCTGTTTGTTTAACCTAATCCCCCATCCTGATCATGATTAAGCTTCCTGTGTGTACACTTTATTCGCAATATACTTACTGAATAAACGTGCTCCATGCTACACGTCTGTTTCCTTTATAGCTGGGCTATAGCTTATCTGGTTTTGGGAGTCTAGCTAGATGTTGGAGAATCTGCCATAGAGATTTCTGAATCAGTCAGGTTTTACTAGCGTAGCAATCCGCTACAACTTCATAATAAATTACGCAATTCCCCAACTTTACAATGCTACTTTAAGGCAAAAAATACTTGTTAACAAATCCAAATAAATTTGATTGACATCATTCAGACAATCAGCTAAAGTGAAATTAACTTGTGCTCACAAAACTATATTAAATATTAAATTAACTTGTGTTTACCAAGTTATAGTATATATATATATATATTAATATTAAATATATTATTATCAATTATTAGTATTATTATTATTAAAAATATAAGAATATCAGTTTCATTTGTTCATATAAACGTTTAATTAGGAAAACTCACCTTTTTATCTTCTGTACTTTTAGAACAATCAGAAGGAAGAAGTGTTCGCTTGGCGAATATGAATTTGAGAACTTCAGTCATTCGATGGTAATAAAGTGTACCATTGCCTGTAAAGCGTCTGCCATCCGTGTAATTGTAATCTAAAATGAGGGGGGGGGGGGTAGGGAATTCAGCTCTAATTTCTCAAGTCCCCTATGGAGGATATAGAGAAGAACTTTGAGCGATAGACTTACCTTCAAGTGGTGCATCCTGGGAAGCGTATACTCATACGGCAAAAACGTCTTCAAACCGGCAGTTGGCTTCTGACTTCAAACTACCGTGACCCCACTGTAAGTCAAATTCCCCCACTTTCACAGAACTCACCTTACTTTACCTTTTCCCTACCTTTGTGTCTGTCTCTTTCACTATTCTGTTCTCCCTCTCCACTCTTTGTGACTATGCCTGTTCCTCCCCTCTGTGAAGCCGAAGTCAACTAAATGGCTAATGATGATGACCACCATAATGCTTGCCCTTTGGATATGGGTAAATATTTATCAATGAATACCGATCCTAGGAAAGTCTAATTGACGAATGTGTAAGCTGTCAAAAATATTGAAATGATATTTCCCTCTTAGTTATATAGAGCATTCCGGGGTGTGCGATAGACTTACCTCCACGTTGTGCACCCTGGTGGTCTATAAACCGGCATTGACTTCAAACTACCAAGGCCCCCCTGTATGACATATTCGACAACTTCCACCAGTACTACATCACATACAGTACTACATCACATTTTTTCTAAATTTTCAACCTTCGCTTTTTCTAAATTTTCAACCTTCGTCTTTGAAACACTCTTCAGTTCCCCTCCTCTCGACCTTTTGTCACTTTGATGTTCCTCCACCCCTCTGTGAAGACTGAAGTCAACTAAAGGGCTAATAATAACCATCAAAACGCCTGCCATTTGATATAAATAAATATAGAGCATTCCTATTTTCAATAAACTCACTGCTATAATTTAAGCTCTATCTGTGAAACAACCAGCGTATAGCAGAGGAAACGCAGGGTCAGGAAGACGGAAAGAGGAAAATAAAACAAAAAGTTGAATGAAAGAGAAGGTGAGAATGGGTAACATTTTTAGCTGAAATAGGAAGCCCATACAGGTTCAAGGTTAAGTAACGTCGATAAGAAGAATTGAATATAATTTACCGGAATAAGCAAAAGACAATATGGATGTCTTTCATTTCACTCGAAAATATTGATTTTGATGATATGTTTTTTTTCTCCCGTGTGGAAACTTGGTGTAATGGCATCCGGCGTAAATATTTTTCGAGATATTTGTAACTCGCGAAGTTTTTTTTTGCTACAAATCTCTCCAACCAGAAATGAGGACCAGCACTTAATGTTCGGATTCACTCAACCACACACTATCCTCTAGCGAAGAGTGTCTGGCAAACACTGCGGCAGGGAAGGGGGGGACATACTTCCACCCACATCTCTTTTTAACCTTCAAGGGTTTTCGGTTCGCCTTTCTATGCTTATCACATCAAACTGATAGAGATGTTGACGTTTCGATATGCACACACTTAAATCGCCTCGAGATATTCGAGATATTCTTCAGTAAAAATATTTATTTAGACCGCGTTGTCTGTATGCTATGCAATGATAATTTTGCCTTCCGTAATTAACTGACTGGAAATATAAATTTAATTGAGATACTTAAAACCATTTGTTATTTGGATTTGTTTGTTGTAGTTTACTTCAAAATTACAACAGAGAAACCTTTCTTATAAGTTGGTCAAATTGTTTTTCAACTTTTAAAACTAATTTTGCTTCTTTATCAAGAAGGTTCATCAAGAATAAGCGTAAGCCAAAAGGTTATTATTATTATTAAGATTACTGATTTATTGATTGAAATGTAGAAAGAGAAATTTTGTGGACACCTAGTTTTAGATCACCGAAAGAAGGGTACCAGTTAACGTGCCAAAAGAAACCAAACCAAATCAATCAGTCTGTATGATTAAATTGCTTTCAATCACTTTCGTGAATATTATGAGTAAAAATACCGTAGAACAAATACATCTAATCATAATATTAGTATTGCTCAAGAATATTAGATACTTAGGTACTTACTAGCCAAAGCATTGAGCGCCAATCCAACGAGTACTCCACTTGACGGTGGAGGGCATGTGATCAGACGTAGATCAGTTTCCGTGCCTTTTGATCGAAGAGGGATGTCAAGAGGATCTCGCCACAGAGGTTCATAATCCGCAAGATCCTTAAGAGTGATTATTGATCCGGCTTTTTTCAAATCTTCAGCAATTTCTTCTGCTAATGATCCGTTAAGGATTTCCTCCGGCTTCTCCGCTACTCGTTGAAGGAAATCTGCAAACTCTGGACGAACCACTGTCTCATTAGTGGTCTTCAGCCGTCCTTCAGTCTTATTGTACAAGAGATCCCTTCAAAAGTTATAGCCATTGTTTAAAGTTTAAGTATTTATTTGCAGTTGCTTCAACTCAAACTGTCTCAAAAGTGTTCGGTCTAACGTACAAGTGATAACTTCGTCATATACCGGAATATTGACCACAGTACTGGCAGAAGTTGTAGCACAAGTCCATCTTCGTGGAACACTTCAATTCATGCTATTCAATCTGTGAATTACACTAGGACAAATTTAGCAAATACGTTAATATCGTTGCTAATAAGCATTAAATAGAGTATCAGACGTCCGATCGACATTCTAAACCTACATAGAAGAATTCAATAATTGGAATAGGGAAACACATTGATTAACGCTGGTTTTCTGGGGAGGGGGGTGTGTGTGTGTGAGTAGAATGAAGCTATTGAACGCCACTCATTTTAGACAATGTCTTAGTACTTTATTTTCTCATATTTGACCTAATGAATAATTCAACTCTGTTCTAGCGGATCACATATTCAACAATTTTTAGCTCTATTCAGGTAAATTTGAACTCCTTCCACGCTTTACCTAATTAATTTCTCTAGGTAGGACACCACGATGCATCTGCTTTATTCAAAATTGCGTGATGAGCGAATTAAAGTAAATCGCACGAAGACATTTGCATAAAATTGATATCATCACAAAATCGAGTCAGGTTTTTGTATGCTAAAAATATTTTGAAAAAACGCTCTTTTCCTGTTTTTCCATGACCCGCTAAGGAAATAGCAAAAAACGAAGTCCACTTAAAGACGCGGTTTTGTAAAACAAATAAAACCAGATTTTAGAGTGTTGTTTGGCTTGAAGTGGACAGCTGAAGAAATACCAAATACTAGAATCGATCGTGAGAAGTAAACTAGTTGAAAGATAAACGAACAGCTTACAGGATTAATGTTAAAATCAATCGATATAAAATATCATTAAATTTGAATTATCGCCTTTGAATTATCCCTTTCAAAAAAAGGGATTGAAACAAATTGATCACAGGGAGATAAGTTGAGACAGTGATAACTCATTTAACGTTAGTCACCATCTTAAAAACATCTTTCGTTTGACAAATATTTATATAGAGATTCTATTGATACATCCAATTCAAGAAATCGGTAAAATTCGTGTTGTGATACTCAAAGAGAGCAAAGTTCTACGCCATGGAGACTGACTGGAATAAGAAGTCATCATGACTTTAGGAAGAAATAATATCAAGATAGCGGTGAAATAAGCATATTTGCAATAGTCAAATATGCACTCACCAAAGAGGTGTATTAGGAGGTATTTGAGAACCGAATATTTTCAAAATGCCATCGAGGGTGGTTGATACAGGTACGCCATCTCGACACATTTTGATAACGTCCTCAAACAACTCCGACCAAGGCAGCTTGCCAAATTTCTTCCAAGCAACGTAGTAACCCTTGAGTTCACTTGGAATTGCAATCGCCAATGGACCTGTTTAATAAAATAATTATCATGCCACCTGTTAATATATATATATATATATATATATATATATACATATACATATATCCAACAATTGAAGTGACAAACAGCTTAATTTAATTGTAGATTTTCATTTGGATACAACAATTTTTCCAATTTCATTATTTAAAGAAGATAGTGTTTTTCAGGTTAATATAAAGTCATTGAGGATCTTCAGTATATTGATTCCTTTTCAAGTTAATTGTTCAATGATAATAGATGATGAGTAGTTAAGGTGACGTCATAAACAATACGAAATTGTAGGCCTAATTTCAATGCAGACTTAGGTCAAGGTTTATGAAGATTATCAATTATCAATAGGCTTTCGAAATATCGACTTCTTTATTCATATGTTCAACTCAGTCAATTATGGGTAAATATCTGTCTATCCATTCGGTCAACTTCATTTTTCTCTTGTTAGATTAAATAGCGTTAATTCACACATAGATATCTTCAATTTTAAGTGAGGTTCTAGTTTATACGGCCTCCACCATAATTGAGAGCGCTTTTAACGTCCTTAGGGCCGTTCAGTTCTCTTTCAAAATAAGATCTATTTTGGCACTAGACTCGTAACGGAAGGCGGTGTTGCGGTTTGGAATATGTTCAATACGTGTCTACAGCCTTCGCCAGAAGCTACCAAAACTCATCTCGTCGGTAGCTTCTGTCTGCTATGAGACACGCGTGAGTGCGGTTGGGTGCATTTTTCAAAAAAAATAATTCGGGCGTTAAATGGGGTAAGCTGAATGAGGATTTTGCTACCTGTGACAGATGGGAAAGATCGAGATATTATCAGCAGATAATCGCTGAATCTTAAGACAATGAAAAAAAGGACGGTGTCTGTCAATGGTCAATATGACGACAGATTAAGGGAAGGGATTGTTTGACTGAGATAAGCTGAGTTTAGATTGGTTACTGGTACGCTCCATTTAGATCACTTTGGTTACTAACTTGAACACCAAAACGTCTCTCTCTCTCATATATATATATATTACTATTACTATTATTATTGTTTCAAAACTGAAATGTTGTATTTCATTTAAGTGAAATAACCTACCATGAACGTGGATACTTGGATGTTTACCAACAAACATAGTTTCCGTTGCGTTGGCCGGCGCTGTCTCCCTTGCATCTAGTGTATAAGTTCGTTTCTCAGATCTGCGAGAATATGCAAAAAACAAATGCTTTTGAAATGACCTTTAAGTTCACTATTGAGATGTATACTGGCGAAGCATTGAAAGCTATGTAATAGGAAGTAAGTAACTTAATCAATCTGTACTCAAACCATGAGACTCACAAAAGGTGCCAATCTACCCCCCCCCACTCACCCACCCGCAGGCACACACTTGCTACAGTTGTCCTCTCATCTCCCCCCTTCTCTCCACCTCCGTTCAATTAGTTTTCAGTGTCTGGCAAAAGTACCAATCCAATAACATAATACGTATCGAATATGACGTTTGCAAATATATTTATAAATTTCATGCTTAAATCGGCTTAAAAAAGATCAATCAGGTTTCCAAACCACGTATTTGCTCAGCTAAATACAACAACACCTTTGGTATTAAAATACACAATAGAATTTCAAATGTGAAGAACCCTGGAGTTGATTCGAATCAAATTTGTGTCTGTTTATGTGTCTACTTAACAAGACAAATGCTCAATTTCAGTTCTGAACGCTTCTGTCCAATCAAATTGCCCATTATGCTCTCGTGAGCATTAATAAACAATGCCTTTTAAAATAAGTGCTATTGGTAGCGTGGTAAAATAATTCTGTGTGTTAATTCCAAAAGAGAATAAGAATAAGAAGTATGTTGACTTACGCATTGTAATACACCATTAGAAAGCCACCTCCGACGCCCATACTGTGAAAATTGACAACACCAGTGCACAGAAGGGTCGATATAGCCGCATCCATTATGCTACCATTTTTTTCAAGCATCTTTCTGCAATTAGAGAAATGCCGATAAAACAAACATATATTTATTTATACCAAATGGCAGGTGTTTTGATAGTTAGCATTAGCTCTTGAGTTGACTTCGGGACTTCACAGAGGGGAAGGAACATCAAAGTGTGAAAAAGTCCAGATGGGGGGGGGGAGGGGAACAGAAGAGTGTTTCAAAGATGTAAAAGAGACAGATACAAAGGTGGAAAAAAAGGATGAGGTGAGTACTACGGAAGGGGTAGAATTTGACAAGCAATGGGGTGATGGTAGATTGAAGTCAGAAGTCAATTAAACAAATATTGGCCAAGCTCTTCCATCTATAGGCTCCATTCAACTCCTGGGGAAAGTAACGTCGCAACCCCATGAATATACTCCAAATGACATTTTTCCAAGAATATTGTGTCGTAATCATGTTAATTAGCAAGATATCGATTTTTTTTGGATTCTGATTTGTTTTTCCACTTCTATCGCGAATTGAAGCGACAAAGAGAGAGAGGGAGAGAGTGTCTGAATATACATCCTGCTTATACTAAGCGTAAATAATCTTCATTGAATAAAATGCAATTCGCATTCTAAAACCCGGCAATTTTTTGTAAAAAAATGATGATGATCGTAAAGTAATGGGGACTTTTTTGTTTGAACATGTGAATACGTCAATGCCTCCTCATATGGTCAAAAACCTCTCAGGTGATTTGGAGTCAACAAAATACTTGTGATTTCTCTCCTCAACGCAAAAAGCGTACTGCTAATGCCCTTGATAAGCAAGAAAATTGTGATTCCGAGTTTCAATTACAGGAAATCTTCTGAATACAGAAACAACAAAAAACTGTCTAATGGGGGTGGGGGGTGGGGGTGGAGAGAGGTGGGGGAGGGGGGTTGGGAGCAGAGACGGGCAGGGATGACGCAATGGTTACAGTCCTCATGGACTTCTGAATCATATCGAGTTCGAGAGAGAGCGAGAGGCATCTTTTGAATGAATGAATGAATGGCTCGTCTAACTTAAGGCTAACATCATAATAGAACATGTCCACAAATCCAGTGTCAAAAAGACATCAAAATATTCAAAAAAACGGAAATTTCATTTTTTTGCGCGACTAAATAGTAAGCGATAATGATTTACGCGCTTGCTTCATTCATAGGAATATTAATGCATTAATTATAAAATAATAATATAATAATAATAATAAATTAAAACTCGTTCTTTGACATACTTTCCATGAGCTGCGCAGCCTGGGGCGTCTGCGACTACAGCCGCAGTTGAATAATACCCCAAAGGTGCTGACGAAACGTAGGACAGCGGATTGTCTACAAATCAAATATGTCCAAATTGACTCATTTCGCTAATTACAATTTTAAATCGAAAGCATTCAAAAGTGAAATATGGAAAAAAAACCATTCTTTTGAGTTTCCTTCTTTTGCTACGCGAGTGAAATTTTGCAAAAAAGTCCTCCAATTAATATTCAAAATGGAGAAAAGAAATGGTATCAATGAATGAAATGTCAACAAAAAGAGGTTTATAAAAGTAATTGAAAAGTTAATTTGCTCAAATGATTCGTCAATTTTAGAACATACTGTCAGAAATGTCTTCATCCGGTATTATGAAAGCAGTAAATAAAAGAACGGCGAACCTTAAAAAAAGAAATAAAGCTTAGATATATAAATTTTTAGTTTGTTTTTAGCTAAAGGTATCTACTGTGGTCCTAGAGATAAGATGGAGATCGAGAAGAAGATGATAGCGGCGACGGTTATTAACATTTGGGCAAAGTTCTTGTAATTTGACAGTGCTTATTTAACCATAATTAATTCTGGATCATTTATGTATTTGTGTTCTGATTGGTTGACGAGTTTCAACCAATAAAATTTCAAAAATTCGGGTGATAAGTGTTCCTATTATTAGAAAATGAGTTCTTTGTCAATCTTGAAATCTTCTTTAAGAGCTTAAACCGATTGTCTGAGAGGAGACCAAATTTTCTGAAAAAACTGAGAATTTATGTCATTTTAGAAAGAACTAAAGTGAATTCATGAATGTAAAATTAGCCGTTCTCCATTTTATGCATATAAATATGGTAATCAAATATAATCCATATTTTAGCCTTTAAAGTACATTCAAACATGTCTTGACAAGGATTAAAGTGCAAAGTTGAAATTTTTCTAAAGGGTAGAAAAAATTCTTTTGTTTGGGGTCAAAATTTATCCAGATGACGAATTTATTCCAAGCCTATCTACAAAAAAAGAAAGTACATGACAGGCCATCATTAGTGCAATTAGACACAACTTTTAACGAGGAGCATTCTTACTTCCTTACGTCCAAAATGGATATTTAATTCCAAGGATATCTCCGTTCTGGCATCTTTGGTCTTTGGTTATTTTCGGTAAACATTATTGCCAATAAGGTAATTTTCCTTAGATGCTGTTGTTGCTGCCTACAATTACATTCAATCAATTTTAAATTATAAATAATAATATTGAAGTGGGGTGTGCGATAGACTTACCTCCACGTGGTGCACCATGGGCAATGTATACGCACACGGCAAAAATGTATATTAACCGGCAGTTGACTTCTCACATCAAACTATCATGACCCCACTGTATGTCATATCCGACCACTTTCACAGTACTCGCCTTACCCCACTCTCGATCTTTGTGCCTGTCTCTTTTACACCTTTGAATCACTCTTCTGTTCCCCCTCTCGACTTTTTGCCACTTTGATGTTCTTCCTCCCTCTGTGAAGCTCGCAGTCAGCTAAATGGCTGATAATAACTATTCAAAACGCCTGACATTTTAAATTATAAACAATGATATTGAAGATAGCACTTCGGGTGGAGGGGAGAGGTTGTAATAATGGAGTTTCATTAATATTCCCTCTGTTCATGTGGCAAACTACCTTGATATGCGTTTGAAGAAATGATTTCTTAGCATTGCTTGTTAGAAAAAATGATGAGGCTATTACAAATGTGAGTCAAAAAGAATTTAGCTAATATTTAAAATGCTAAATCATTTCGAAAAAATTTGAAAATTTGCTAATTATTTTTGAAAAGTTCAGGCTGCCAAAATTAGAGGAAATTTCGTAAAATTTTTTAATTCCAGGAGCTAAATTTGAATTTGTGGAATAATCTTGTGACTGCACTTTTAATGAGGCCGCAAGTGGATCACGTTAGTGCATTCGCCGCCCCTGAAATAATTTGGGGGGTAATTTATATTTTACGGATACCTTTTTTGTTTTCTTGCAGACTTATACTTAGAATATGGAAAAATTGGGAGTTTTTTTCGCGAAAGATTTTAGTGCCTATTTACATGGGCCGCCTCCTTCTCTCGCTCTTACCTTTCCGCTTTTTTTTACAATGAAACAGCTAATTTGAAAATTTTCTTTGAAAGAGCTCCAATTTTTTATTGCCACCCCACTCCACCCGTACTTTGCTATAATTTCCATCTTTCAATAAATCCTATCGATTTTAGCATTTTTCATACTTTCTTACATGATTTATATATACTTTATGTGTGTGTTATTCGCCGATTTGGAAATTCCCTCCTTACCCAACCTGTTGTTCAATTACTTTTCATATTTAAGACTTAAAACAAAACTAAATGATTAGTATTTAAAAAAAACGGCCCCCTGGTGCTTAATAAAGATGGTATAAATTCAGTATTATTTATAATCAATCATATTTTAAGGCTTTTTTGTAACTGCCATTCCGTTTTAATTTTTTTATCAGAGTGAAATATTGGATACCACGGAAAAGCACAGCTCAAGATAAGAGGGAATCTGTGACTAATTCACATGCTAAGGGGAATTTGCGTCAGTGTGGTGATGGCTTGTTAAATTTGCAATTCACGAGACGCTAAGTGGTCTATTATTGGCAGCATAACTTTATACAAATGTTTTTTTTTCCTACCTGATTTATCATACGAAATCTTGACTGTAGTTCTTCTTCATTGTGGTAGAAATAAGTGGCTCTTTCATGAAATATCCTTGTACGAACATTTAAGCTTAAAATAACTAACTGGATTTCCTGAATACAGAGCTCCATAAATTAGTAATACATCGACATTCTCAATGTTCGATATCAAGACCTGCTAACTTTGATATAGTGACCAATGCTATATCATTAAAAGTAATCACTTTAAAATATCGATTTTGAATAATCTTGCCTGTCATATCCGACCCCCTTAAATCCTCCTTCGAAGTTCAAGCCGATCGATTTGAGAGTTGTTACACTTTCATCAATGCCAACTAGACATTTTGTTTTAGCATCAACTTGGTTACCAAATTTTAATTATTATTTAATATTATCGTTGAATATTTATCATTTCATTCGTCCTTGACTTGAGAAATTCAGTTGCTATTTTAAACAAATAGTAGGAGATGAGAGATCTTTCGGCTACACGAATCCTGAAGATAACCCATTAATTAAAATTTATTGGAACAATTCAAAATATTGTGGCTTCCAATTAAACGCTGAAATCCAATTCACTCTGAGCTCTCCAGGCACAAATTGTCATTTTTGGGATGAGTTAACAATTGAAAGAAAAAATAACGACTTTTAATAGACAACGTGGGGCTTTCCCACCTCCACATTCGAAATTATATACGAAATTTTATTTGCATCAACACCATCAAACCAGAAGACAGATATGTTCTCACTTAAATTGGGCGAAGCAATTCTTGCAGATTTAATTACCAACTGAAGTTGAAAATTCACGTGCTTGATTAAGAAAAACAGAACTCATTTGAAATAATAATACTTACCTCCACATGGTGCACCCTGGGCAGCGTATACTCATACTGCAAAAAAGTCTATTAACCGGCAGTTGACTTCAAATTTCCATGACCCCACTGTATGTCATATTCGACTTCTTTCACAGTACTCATCTTACCTTTTTCTCTACCTTATCTACCTTTGTCTTTGATACACTCTTCTCTTCCCCCTTCTCTTGAATTTTTTACACTTTGATGTTCCTTCCCCTCTGTGAAG